AACAAACAAACAAACAAGCCCCCAAAATTTGTCAGGCATGGTGATGTGTGCCAGTAGTCTCAGCTACTTTGGGGGCTGAGGTGGGAGGACCACTTGATCAACCAGGAGGTTGAGGTTACAGAAAGCCGCTACAATGTAGCCTGGGGGACAGAGCATGATACTGTCTGAAAAAGTAAAAATAATAAATAAATATGACATTGGCTGGGCACGGTGGCTCATGCCTGAAATTCCAGCACTTTGAGAGGCTGAGGCGAGAAGATCACTTGAGGTCGAGAGTTCAAGACCAGCCTGGCCATCATGGCGAAACTCTGTGTCTACTAATAATACAAAACAATTAGCTGGGTGTGGTGGCACGCACCTGTAATCCCAGCTACTTGGGAGGCCGAGGCAGAAGAATCACTTGAGCCCGGGAGGCAGAGGTTGCAGTGAGCCAAGATCATGCCACTGCATTCCAGCCTGGACGACAGAGTGAGACTCTGTCTCAAAAAATAAACAAACAAACAAATAAATAAGACATGTAAATAAAGCATAGTATGTGGAAAGCTCTCAATAAATTTTAGATCTTAATAGTTCCAATTTACAGCTGACAAGACTCTGACTTAAAAGATAAATACTTAGGGCCAGTTTCGATGGCTCACACCTGTGATCCCAGCAACTTAGTAGGCCAAAGCTGGAGGATTGCTTGAGGCCAGGAGTTTGAGACCAGCCTGGGCAATATAGAGAGACCCTATCTCTATAAAAATTTTGTTTAAATTAGCAGGGTGTGGTGGCACACTCCTGTAGTCCAGCTACTTGGGAAACTGAGGTGGAAGGATTGTCTAAGCCCAAGAGTTCAAGGTTACAGTGAGCCATGATCATACTACTGCACTCCAGCCTGGAGAACACCACAAGACTCTAGCTCTAAAAATAAATAAATAAGTAAATAAATAAACAAATAAATCATAAATACCTTACCCAAGATCACAGCACTAGCAAGTTCTGAGTCTGAGATCTGAACCCGTGTCTGTCCGACTCCAAAGTCCATGTTAGCTTCTATGTTCTTCTGTTTGTACATCAAAGTTAAAGGCATAAGTCTCCTTCTGTGTTGACAGTAATTCATTTGATTTTATGCTGAGACTTGGATCAAATACACTTAGAATACTGATGGCATTCTTAGCCTCTAAATTTTTCTACAAAATCAATATGATTACGTAAATGACTTACATAATAGGAAAATGTTCAGAGGATAGCATTTTGTATACTAAGAAACATAAAAGATATATCTGTCATTACAAGTTCTATATAATTACATTATAGAAAGATTAGAAAATAGAGAACCACAAAAGAAAATTCAATCCCTATTATTACCGCCGAATCATGCAACTGCTTTCACTTTTGCTTGTTCATTTCCTGGGCTAGTCTACCGGCAGATATATTTTAGCAGAGTTGTAATCATAGCATACATTCCATTTTATATCCTGTTTGGGTTGATTGTCCAGTGACCCCTTTCTTCTCTGCAGTCTCCCATATCGTATGTGAGGCATTTCCCACATTGCAGCCTAGGGAGAGGTGGTTCTCAGTGCCTTTGAGTAAGGAGCCAAGATTATCAGTGCAGTAGTGCCCCTTACGTTCCAACGGGTTTCATGAGCAGCCGGAACTCATGCCTATAGGGAAGAAGATGATGGGCAAGTAAAGGAGGAGAAAGCTCTTCACCTAACTCCATAAAATATGGGGTAGAGTGGGGTGGGGTGGGGGCAGACATTTTAGGGAACTGCACAACAGAGCAACACAATTAGGACAGAAGCAACCTTCTTTCCTTGCTTCCCCATGGGTCATTGTGGGAAGATGGTATGTGGGTGTGCCCTCCTTGTGCAGTTGCCAGGCACAGAAATCAGGAGGTCTGTAATGCAAACCTCTGTTTGGCTAAAGGTACCGAAGGGTGGCAGAATCGGTTGTCCCCAAATATGCCATTTTGGCACAAGGATTATTTTGAGCTAAAGGCACTTGAAAGTAGCAGATGCATATGAGGACACAAAGGCATAAAAATAATATAACGGACTTTGAGGACTCGGGGGAAGGGTGGGAGAAGGGTGAGGGATAAAAGGCTACACATTGGGTGCAGTGTACACTGCTCGGGTGATGGGTGCACCAAAATCTCAGCAATTACTACTGAAGAATTATCCATGTAACCAAACACCACCTGTTCCCCAAAAACTGTTGAAATAATAATAATAATAAAAAGAAAATAGACCGGGCGCAGTGGCTCAAGCCTGTAATCCCAGCACTTTGGGAGGCCGAGACGGGCGGATCACGAGGTCAGGAGATGGAGACTATCCTGGCTAACACGGTGAAAACCCGTCTCTACTAAAAAATACAAAAAACTAGCCGGGCGCGGTGGCGGGCGCCTGTAGTCCCAGCTACTCGGGAGGCTGAGGCAGGAGAATGGCGTAAACCCGGGAGGCGGAGCTTGCAGTGAGCTGAGATGCGGCCACTGCACTCCAGCCCGGGTGACAGAACGAGACTCCGTCTCAAAAAAAAAAAAAAAGAAAAAAAAAAAAGAAAAGAGAAGATGCAAAAAGGGAATCTTAATCTTTTTTTCTTCCTGAAAACAGGAGATAAAAGTCCCATGTGAAAGATGCCGTGCCTGTACCAGGAGAAGAAAAAGCATTCTTTGACGGGGGTCATAACCAGGATAATCCTCTATAAACAGACCTTGCTAAAGTAACCCTTATCCTCCTTTGCCTCCAAACATAATTTAATGTAATTACTTTTCTACAATTGCACTCTTTGCTCATCCTACTACATAAGCATTTAGGTTTCGGCACTTCTTCAATTTTCTATGGGGGCTCCTATATGTAAAAATCTGTATGTTTTTCTCTTGTTAATCTGTCATAGGCCAATTTAATCCTCAGGCCTAGCCAAAATCCCTAAGAGAACAGAAGTAAAGTTTTGCCTCCCCTATAGTTTCTGGTAGTGAAAATGGGACCCTAGAAGGCTGGGATGCGCCACTCACTTCAGAGCCTGTGGGTGGGATCCCAGAAGAGCTGACAGAACCTGCAAAAGGTAAAAATTCTTACCAAAGTTAGCTCCCCCACATATCTACCTGAAGTGCCCTGTGGAGAGGAGAACGTTAAACATTTTACTTGTCTTTTCCTTTCCAAATTCAGATCGGCAGGAGAAAAACATTTGTAAGAATGAGTTCTTTGAATTGTCACTTTTATAAATTTGGTCTGGGTATGATCCACAGCCTCCCAGGAATAATAAAAAGTCCTTGTGTGCATTGTCGATGTCGTTTGTGGTGTTTGTCACAGGGAAGAAAATCCTAAGATGAGATTCTTCTTTCGTTTTATGTCCCGAGAGCCTGGTTTTAAAATAGTCTCTCTGGTCTTCGCCGCCAGGGGGCGCAAGTGTTGCTGGTTTGCATCAGGCGGCCAGCCTGGAACCCAAGTTCTAAGATAAGCAGCATTTTCATCCGACTGTGCCAGCTCTCAGAGAAGTTTGTCTTAATAAAAGGTCCCAGTCCATAAGAGGCGTTTGTCATCTGAACTTTCATTGTCTTTTTTTTTTTTGAGACACGGTTTTTTGAGACACAGCCTCGACCTTCCAGGGCTCGAAGGATCCTCCCGCTTCAGCCTTTGAAAGTGCTGGGACTACAGGCACTGAGCACGAGGGTGCCTGGCTAATTTTTTTTGTTTCTGTAGAGAGGAAGTCTTGCACTCTGTCGCCCATGCTGGAGTGCAGTGGTGTGATCTCAGTCACTATAACCTCCACCTCAACAGGCTCAAGTGATTCTCCTGCCTCAGTCTCCCGAGTATCTGGAATTTCAGACATGCGCCACCACACCTGGCTAATTTTTGTATTTTTTGTAGAGACGGGGTTTCACCATATTAGCCAGGCTGGTCTCGAACTCCTGACCTCAAGTGATCCGTCCACTGCAGCCTCCCAAAATACTGGGATTACAGGCGTGAGCCACCGCGCCCGGCAAAAGGGCTGCACGGCTTGCATCCTCCTTGGGGATGCCTCTTGCATCCGTGGTTAAGTGATAAAAGCCTTATTGATTTTAAGCTATAAAAACTTACTGGTTTGAGTCATAATTAAGATAGGTACAACTTTGAAGATTTGAACTTTTATATCTAAAAGGATTTTGTTTTTCAAGAAAGCTGTCATCCTAAACAAATATCTATGGAAAGATGAGTCGAAAGAAAATATTAATAGGCAAAAATGAGAACTTTTACCAAAAGTATTAAATTTTGTGTTTATGTATATCTAATTCACGGCTAAGATTTTAAATGAAAATTTTAAGATCTGCTTGTGTCAGTCTCTTTGTTTATGCTTATGTATGTGTGTTGTGTATATGTGATATTTCTCTATCTCCTGATGATATTGCACCGCTACTTGATAGTCTAATTCAGAATGTCTGGGGAAGGACCTTAGCATCTGAATTTTTAAAAAGCATGCCAAAGGATTTGGACAAGCAGCCAAGATTGGGAACTAATATCTGATTAATGAATGACATCTCCAATTCAATTACCTCTAGTGCACAGCACCTTTTCTTATAGCTAAAAATGATTGCTAAATCCACCCTGTCATAATTTTTTCAATGTATAAAGATAGACACCCAAAAGAAATGAAACAAGAAACCAACAAGAGCTCAAGGGAACTGTGACTCCTGTGGGCTGTTGAGGGAGACAGCAGGTCAAAAATTAGCAGGAACTTGATTAGAACGATAGCAACAGTATTGGCAGCTAAATTAATAACAGTGAATCCAGCAGGAATTTCATCTCGGCTGCAGTTACAACTATTAGGATTATGTAGGCTGCTATAAAAATTAAAAGAGAAAGTCAGTGAGATGCACCGTTTAATTTCCTTTCTGGCTCTTTCACTGTTTCTTTTCATTTTGTTTTTTCCCTTTTCCTTGCCAACAGAAAAATAATTCTTGAGTAACTCAGGCCTACTGTACGAGGTAACAATTCTCTCCTCCCTTTCCATCTTCTTCCTCTCCAGTTCCACTCCTGAGAGAGTAATCCTTAATAACAGTTTGGTGTGTATCCAAAAAAAACTTTTTTGTAGCATTGTTCTCCAGAGTGTTTGAAGGATTTCTTCTGATAAAGTTTCTTTAGTCTTTAGCCAGAACTAGTCTTTGACCCACTTAGTCTACTGATAAGCAGGAAATAGCACTTTTCTCCCCCCCTTTGAAGCTAGAAAGGCAGGCCTAAAGTGAGTAGGAGCATTCTGAGAAATGGAAACTTAAAAAAGGCGGCAACCTTCTAGTTTCATTCTCAGAAATACCAAAGCAGTCAATTTCCTGGGCTTGTTTTTCTGCAGAGAGCTCAGATTTGAGAGCCATTTCTAGCCTTTGAGGGTTACCACTGTCCTCAGCCAAACTGCAGGGACTCCTAAGTATATCAGAACTCCTGGAACTTTCTCATCTTTTCAGCATCTCAACCCTGTGGAATCTTTTAATTCGCAAGGTAAGTACAGATTGTCCGGAGAGATCTAAGCCATGCCTATTCAATGGAATGGAGAGTCTCTCAAAGAGACCTCATAACTCTAAGATGAAAATCCCCTCTGTGGCTGTAGACTCTTCCAGACATACCCACTTTAAGCAAGAGAGGACGAAGTAGACACTTCACGTCTACACTTTTAATAAATAAATGAAATAGACAATGAGAGGAGCTGGCCCTTAGACTGGACTCACCTTGTAGCTGAGGCCTGGGATGTAGGACTCCCGCCCAGAGAGTCCTACATCCTGGCTGGGCTGAGAAAGAGAGATGTAGAGGGTTCTCATAGTTCTGGGGAGCAAACCTTCAGATGAGACAAGGGAGGAGCCTTGGGAGGAAGGGATGCTTGTGAAGATTCTTTTTTTTTCCTGAGACAGGATCTTGCTCTTTCACCCAGGCTGGCGTGCAGTGGTGCGATCGCAACTCACTGCAGCCTCGACCTTCCAGGGCTCAAAGGATCCTCCCGCTTCAGCCTTTGAAAGTGCTGGGACTACAGGCACTGAGCACGAGGGTGCCTGGCTAATTTTTTTTGTTTCTGTAGAGGGGAAGTCTTGCTAGATTGACCAGGCTGGTTTCAAACTCCTGACCTCAAGCAATCGTCCTGCCGTGGCCTCCCAATGTGCTGGGATTACAGGCGTGAGCCACTGTACCCGGCCGTGCCTGTGAAGATTCTTTAGCAGTTAGCTGATTACTTCATCGCTATGAAAAGGGGTTTCTTATTTTGATTTTTCTTTTTTTTGAGACAGGATCTCACTCTGTCACCCAGGCTGGAGTGCGGTGATGCAATCGTGGCTCACTGCAGTCTCGACCTCTCCAGGCTCAAGTGATCCTCCCATCTCAGACTCTCTGGAGGAGCTGAAACTATAGACCATGCACCACCACACCCAGCTAATTTTTTTGTATTTTGTAGAGACTGGATTTCCCTGCTCAGACTGGTCTCAAACTCCTGGGCTCAAGCAATCTGCCCACCTTAGCCTCCCAATGTGCTGGGATTACAGGCATGAGCCACTGAGCCCAACTGTGTTTTCTTGTTTTTCATAATATATACACTGTTTTGTTTTCAGAGAATCTTAAGCTGTGTTGACTGGGAAACTATGATCTAGTTGGATTGAGTTGTAATTTTTGCAAGTGCGTCACTGCATTGGGTTATGTTGTTTACTGACATTAATTAAAGTAGATACTTGTGAAAGCCCTAGGTGTTCTGTCTAGCTATGTTTTTACGTATGACTTTTGCTTGCCTGTGTTTAACAGAAATGGACCCATGTTTTTCTTGTTATCAAATGTGTTTTATAAAATAAATGCTATCACAAATACCAGGGAGATTATTTCAGAACGGTTAGTCTTACCAGAGTAATGAAAACTCTCTTGTCTTCCAAGAGGCCTAATAATTTGGGAGACCAGTTTGCACAATGATTAAGAGTCTAGATTTTGGGTCGGGTGTGGTCGCTTATGCCTGTAATCCCAGCACTTTGGGAGGTGAAGGTGGGAGGATCGCTTGAGCCCAGAAGTTTGAGAACAGCCTGGGTAACATAGCAAGACCCCATCTCTACAAAACAAACAAACAGAAAAACTAGCCAGGGCTGGGTGCGGTGGCTCACACCTGTAATCCCAGCACTCTGGGAGGCCGAGGAAGGTGGATCATTTGAGGTCAGGAGTTTAAGACCAGACTGGCCAACATGGTAAAACACTGTCTCTACTAAAAATACAAAAATTACCTGGGAGTAGTGGTACGTGCTGGTCATTCCAGCTACTCAGGAGGCTGAGATGGAAGGATCACTTGAACCCAGGAGGTGGAGGGTGCAGTGAGCCGAGATCCCGCCTCTGCCTTCAAGCCTGGGCAGCAGAGTGAGAATCTGTCTCAAAAAGAAAAACAAAAAAACTAGCCAGGCATGGTGGCATACACCTGTAGTCCCAGCTACTTGGGAGGCTGAGGTGGGAGGACTACTTGAGTTCAGGAGGTGAAGGCTGCAGTGAGCTATGACTGCACCACTGCACTCCAGTCTGGATGACAGCGAGACCCTGTTGCTTTAAAAAAAAAAAAAAAAAAAAAAAAAAAAGAAAGAAAAAAGAGAGAGAGAGAGAGAGAGAGTCTAGGTTTTAATTAGAAGCACTAGCATTTAGAATCAAATACTCCTGGATTTGAGCCTCACCCATATGACTCTGAATATGTCCCCCAACCTCAGCTTCCTCATTGATAAAATAAAGGTAGCAGTATTTATTGTGAGGAATCAATGAGATTATGTATGTAAAGGTTTTGGTACAGTTCCTGGCTCAATAAATGTTAGCTCTTTCAGCTCATGAGGAGCACAAGCATCAATCTTCCCTTTGTTTTTAATCTAGACTTGATTGATTTGATCTTCTTATATCAGAATTCTTGATCCCAGGCCTTGGTAGAGATTTCTGCTTCTGGCTGCTTAAGCTTTGGCATATATCCAGGTTCTCTCTCCACATTTGGATCCTTTCTCCCTTTCAGTGTTTGGCTAAGCTATGGTTTTTAATCTGGGGTGAGAAGCAGTATCTCATAAACAGCTCCCACAAGTGACTGGGCCCATTCTGGTTCTTATCCATTGGATTGAGATGGAAGAGGAGCAATTAAAATAATAGACACGAATTGCCATCAATGGCCAGGCCCCTCGGCTTACTTCTAAATCTCTCTCAACTCTGCCGGCTTAATTCTAAATCTCTCTCAACTCTGCCTACTTCTCCATTGTCACCACCTTAGTCTACACCACCATCTGTTCTCATTTGGGCTGCTGAAACCATATCCTGAAAGGTCTTTTCCATGACTGCTCTAGCCTGCTTCAGCTAGAAAGAACTTTAAAAAATGTTCGTCTGATGCCGTGTCTTCCTGCTTAACATCCTCCAATGGCTTCCCATTCCTTTTTTTTTTTTTTTTTTTTGAGATGGAGTCTTGCTCTGTTGCCAGGCTGGAGTGCAGCGGGACGATCTCAGCTCACTGCAACCTCCGCTTCCTGGGTTCAAGCGATTCTCCTGCCTCAGCCTCCCCAGTAGCTGGGACTACAGGTGTGTGCCACCATGCCTGGCTAATTTTTTGTATTTTTAGTACAGACGGGGTTTCACTGTGTTAGCCAGGATGGTCTCCATCTCTTGACCTCATGATCTGCCCATCTTGGCCTCCCAAAGTGCTGGGATTACAGGTGTGAGCCACCATGTCCAGCCCTTTCTTTTGAGACAGAGTCTCCTTCTGTTGCCCAGGCTGGAAGTAGTGGCGTGATTTCGACTCCCTGCAACCTCTACCTCCCAGGTTCAAGCGATTCTCATTCCTCAGCCTTCCAAGTAGCTGGGACTATAAGCGCAGCCTGACTAATTTTTTTATTTTTAGTAGAGATGAGGTTTCACTATGTTGACCAGGCTGGTCTCAAACTCCTGACCTCAGATGATCTGCCTGCCTCGGCCTCCCAAAGTGCTAGGATTACAGGCGTGAGCTATGATGTCTGGCTGGCTTCTCATTACTCTTAGGGTAAAGCCAGGAATCCTTAAAGTGGCTTACCGAACAATGCACAGTCGGACACCTGAGCATCGTTCCAACCTCATCTCCTGCCTCTATCCCTCCAGCTCTGTGCTGTCAGTCTTTTGAACTTGACATACTCCGTCTTACTTCTGTCTAGAAAATTATTCCCACCCTTCTTCACCAAATTAACTCTTCACATCATTTGCATTCTTCAGATCCTAGTTCAAATGTTACTTTTTCTGGAAATCCTTCTCTGGACCCATTTCCCCTCCAACTGCCAGGTGAGGGCAGTGTTTCCACTCTAAGCTCCCCTGACATTCTAAACTTTTGTCCGTAAGAGTCACTTGTTTACTGTCTACCTCCTCAAGGAGAGGGACCACGTTTGTTTTGTTCACCAATGTCTCTTCCAGATTTAGCACAGTGGTAGGCAAATAATAGATATCCAATAAATATTTGTTGAGTAAATGATTTATGACTATTATTTATATTTAAGTATGAATTGAGAGCAATTTCAATTTTAACAATTGAGATGTGCCCAGTTCATTAATATGCTTTTTTTTTTTTTTTTTTTTTTTTTTTGAGACGGAGTCTCGCTCTGTCGCCCAGGCTGGAGTGCAGTGGCCTGATCTCAGCTCACTGCAAGCTCCGCCTCCCGGGTTTACGCCATTCTCCTGCCTCAGCCTCCCGAGTAGCTGGGACTACAGGTGCCCGCCACCTCGCCCGGCTAGTTTTTTTTTTGTAATTTTTTTAGTAGAGACGGGGTTTCACCATGTTAGCCAGGATGGTCTTGATCTCCTGACCTCGTGATCCACCGGTCTCGGCCTCCCAAAGTGCTGGGATTACAGGCTTGAGCCACTGTGCCCGGCCAATATGCATCTTTTAAAAATAGTATGCATCTTTTAAAAATAGTTTCTACATGCAACATTGTATTAAGCATCTTCTTGATGAAATGTAATACAGCCTTTGAAACCTATAACTAAAAGCGTAATAACTTGGAAGGGTTGTAGCGGTGTTATTGATAAAAGCAGAATATAAAATTCTGTTTATTTGATGCTTACAAATTATAAAAGAGTGTAATATTAAGATGATAAGAGATAAGGGAGATAAGGGTGAAAATGTTATTGATTATCATAATATTGTTTATACAATATATAAAACTGAATGTTGTAGTCTGCCATTTTTTCTGTGTCAAACAATATTTAATAATGTGATAATTATATGATTTTGAAGTTTTTTTTGCTTTTGTCTTTTGGGTTGTTTTTGTTTTTGAGATAGGGTCTCACTCTGTCACCCAGGCTGGAGTGAAGTGGCATGATTTTGGCTCACTGCAACCTCCGCCTCCCGGATTCTAGCGATTCTCCTGCCTCAGCCTCCCAAGTAGCTGGGATTATAGGCACCTGCCATCATGTCTGACTAATTTTTGTATTTTCAATAGGGGGAGGATTTCACTGTGTTAGCCAGGCTGGTCTTGAACTCCTGGCCTCAAGTGATATGCCTGCCTTGGCGTCCCAAAGTGTGAGGATTGTAGGTAAGAGTCATGGTGCCTGGCCTGATTTTGAAGTTTTAAAAAAAGTTTTCCCATAATCCCAATGGAGCCAGGTACTTTATAAAATTTTTCTTGATAACGTCCCTGATGCTTTTTATTCTGTTATTGATTTATCTGCATTATCAAGTTTTTATCAAACAAGTTTTGCTTTTGTGCCTTTTTTTTTTTTTTTTTAAATAGTGTCTCATCCCCTTTTGTGTAGGCTGGAGTGCAGTGGTGCCATCTTGGCTCACCGCAACCTCCACCTCCCGGGTTCAAGCGATTCTCCTTCCTCAACCTCCCAAATAGCTGGGATTACAGGCACGCGCCACCACGCCCAGATAATTTTTGTATTTTTAGTAGAGTCAGGGTTTCACTATGTTGATCCACCTGCCGCAGCCTCCCAAAGTGTTAGGATTACAGGCGTGAGCCATCGTGCCCGGCCTGTGCCTATTTTTAAAAACCATTCATTTATGTTTTCAAATTTCTTAATACATATTTTGATGGAAACAAATCTTTCTCAGGTATTATTTTAGAGGAAGAAATCTACTAGAGTGTTCTGTGCATTGATTTTTTTCTTTAGGTCTTAAAGGGAGAAGAAAAGATGAGCAGTTATTGAGGTTTCTATTTCATGCAAAATAATTCAGACTTTTCTATTTTTGTTTCTATTATTTTCTATTTCATACAAAATAATTTTAGATATAGAAGAGAGTTGCCAGACTGGGCCTGGTGGCTCACACTTATAATCCTAGCACTTTGGGAGGCCGAGGTGAGTGGATCACCTGAGGTCAGGATTTCACGACGATCCTGGCCAACATGATGAAACCCCGTCTCTACTAAAAATAAATAAATAAATATTAGCCAGGCATGGTGGTGGGCACCTGTAATTCCAACTACTTGGGAGGCTAAGGCAGGAGACTCACTCGAACCTGGGAGATGGAGGTTGCAGTGAACCGAGATCGCGCCACTGCACTCCAGCCTGGGCAACAAGAGCGAAACTCCATCTCAAAAATAAATAAATAAATAAATAAAATAAAAGAAGAGGGCTGCCAATATGAAAATTTTATCCAAGGAAACCAATGGCATGCTATACTTGAAAGAATATGTCCATAGGAATAAACATTAAGACTTTAAAGCTTATATGTCACAAATGGCACTTTGCATAAATAATCTGACAAGGTTGTTTTAATGGTCATAAAATATAGAAGAAGACAGTTGTAAGTTTTATTACAAGGAGCATAACAGATATATGAGTAAGATTGTGAAAGATTTCACCTTCTACATAATTTCCTGCTTAGAAGTCTATTTCCTTTTCACACCTACATCAACCACCATTTTATTTGTTCATTTTTAAAAAATAATAAAGATGCTAGTGAAAAAAATAAAGACATTAGTGAGTTGTCTAAAAAGATGGAAAACCAGACAAAAAAGCAAAACAAGGAAAAACAAAACTTTTAATCTTATTAATTAATCAAATAAATTGCTTTCTGATTTTTCAATTTCCTCCTGCCCTTACACTTATTATTCCCTTTATTTTGTATTCCTCTGTGATCTAGTTCTTTTTCTAAGTTCTGTAAATGTTGATACAATTCACTCTACTTTTATCTTTCTCTTTAACCAATATAGGCATTTGGGGCTATGGATTTTTCTCCACATATGTTTAAGCCATGTCATGGCAATTTGATGTGACCTAAACCACTTGTCCCCAGCAGGCAGATTCTTTGTATCTCTCACAGCACTGTGTTTAGTGTGAGCTTTCACTGAATGTTTCCTGCACGACTGAATCAAATAATGAAATGTTTTCATGGCATGCACGAATGCATAGTCAAGCAAAAGAGATAGTGACTGTGCAGGCTGTGGCACAATTCTGAGAGTCTTAAGAGCCCCCTTCTCACCACAGCACGGCTAAGTTTTATTGATTTGCACAACCACTCTCAAATACAAGTTCTTTGAAATAAAAAAGACTAAGAATCATTGATCTTCCTTTTACTTCATTTGTCAGATTTACCACCTCCCTTGACCATCTTCATTTCCCCCACTATCCATCTAAGAATGTATAGTCCAAAAGTTTAACTTCTGTCTTCTATTTTCCTTCTTTCTTTCTCTTTCTTTCTTTTCTCTTTCTTTCTTTCTTTCTTTCTTTCTTTCTTTCTTTCTTTCTTTCTTTCTTTCTTTCTTTCTTTCTTTCTTTCTTTTCTTTCTTTCTTTCCTTTCTTTCTCTTTCTTTCTTCTTTCTTTTCTTTCTCTCTCACTCTTTTCTTTCTCTTTCTTTCTTTCTTTCTTTCTCTCTCTCTCTCTCTCTCTCTCTCTCTCTCTCTTTCTTTCTTTCTTTCTTTCTTTCTTTCTTTCTTTCTTTCTTTCTTTCTTTCTTTCTTTCTTTCTTTCTTCTCTCTCTCTCTCTCTCTCCCTCCCCACCCCTCCCCTCCCTCCTTCCCTTTCTTCCTTCTTTCTTTTTATTGACAGAGTCTCACTCTGTCGCCACGCTGGAGTGCAGTGGCACAATCTCAGCTCACTGCAACCTCCACCTCCCAGGTTCAAGTGATTCTCCTGCCTCAGCCTCCTGAGTAGCTGAGACTACAGGAGCTTGCCACCATGCCTGGCTAATTTTTCGTATTTTTAGTAGAGACGGTGTTTCACCATGTTGGCCAGGATAGTCTTGATCTCTTGACCTCGTGATCCACCTGCCTTGGCCTCCCAAAGAGTTTAACTACTTTCTCGCCAATATTCTAAATGCCTATGTCCCACTCCCCTTCAAATTTTTTTGGAGGTAAAGGTTTTTTAAAAATTTTAAATAACATTAATATTTATTGCTTTATTTGAATATTGTATTGAAAGGCCAAGCATTCAGTTTATACACAGAAATTATACAATGATATACCGCTTCACAAAGGCAGTGAACACATTACATTCTACAAAATCTACTTTACAGAAATTTTAAAACTCTAAATATCAAAAGGTACAGCTGAAGAAACAGGTATAAATTTGGCAGCCAGTAATTTTGACAGGGAAGTTGCAGCTTCCATGACTTTAAATATGTACACTTGAAAATATTGAATTTAGAGTAATCATTGTGCTTTGTGTTGATCTGAAAAATATAACACTGGCTGTCAAAGAAGCATGTTCAAAAATATTTAATTCACTTCAAAATGTCATATAAATTATGGTGGTTTCTATGCACCCCTAAAGCTTCAGTCATTTAGTTCAGGTGCATACTAAAGTAATATGTTAATTCTTCCAGTACAGTGGTGTTTCATACCATTGACATTTGCATACACTAGAATAATTTAGAAAGACGTGTAATATTCACAATGTTCAGAAAGCAAGCAAAAGATCAAGGAACCTGCTTGGTTCTTCTGACACGGTCTCATATCAGCATCATAAACATTCATTCTACAAAATAGTAAGCTAACATTTGAACACAGTTTCCAAGATAAAGCATATTTTCTCATAAATAATGAAGTCTTTTTCTCAGGGACCTCAGAAGTATACAAAAGAATTTGAGTTTGAACAGCTTTCTTGGAATGTGTTTTACACATTCCATTCAACAGACTCAAGACTTCCAGGGTTTCACAAGGGCCAGATTTTTTTTTTTTTTTGAGACAGAGTCTTGCTCTGTCACCCAGGCTGAAGTGCAGTGGCACCATCTTGGCTCACTGCAAGCTCCACCTCCTGAGTTCACGCCATTCTCCTGCCTCAGCCTCCCGAGTAGCTGGGACTACAGGTGCCTGCCACCACGCCCAGCTATTTTTTTTTTTATTTTTAATAGAGACGGGGTTTCACTGTGTTAGCCAGGATGGTCTCGATCTCCTGACCTCATGATCAGCCCGCCTTGGCCTCCCAAAGTGCTGGGATTACAGCATAAGGACCAGATTTTATTTCAGTTACTCAGAAGAGAAAGAAAATGTCTTCTGAAAGAGGTGAACTCAATCATTACCAATAGAAAAAGTATCCACTGTTTTCATCTCTTATAGAAACAGAAAAATATAACATTCCCCCCTTAGATTAATTATATATAGATAATGTATGTATATATGACTTAAAGTTCCATTGTATGTAGCCAAACAATAAAATCTGGAAACCAGCATGAAACCCTATAATTCACATGTTAAAATGTTGAAACTATGACCAAAATATGCAAACTACTAGAGCTATCAGAAAGAGACAAAAAGCTTCTTGCATATGTATAAACTAAATGTGATAATCTCAAAAAAGTTTTCAAAATTATAATTACCTTCCAGGTTCAAAACTTTAATCCTAAATTAAAAAAATATCTATACACAAATCACTGATTTGCCCAGACCAAGAGAAGGAAGGAAGGAAGGAAGGAAGGAAGGAAGGAAGGAAGGAAGGAAGGAAGAAAGAAAGAGAGAGAAAGAAAGAAAGAAAGAAAGAAAGAAAGAAAGAAAGAAAGAAAGAAAGACAGAAAGAAAGAAAAGTCAGTGGGAAAGTAAGCAGAACCCAGAGGAGCTGATGTTCACAGTTCTTACATGTACAACTCTTTCAGGAATTATCCATAAAGTACTTCATTTTACAACCTGCTTCTTTTGTAAAACTAAAGGTCCACTTTATTACATAAAAGTTTTATACAGTGTTAAAACCAGAACTATATGGAAAATACTGCATCTAAATGTTTCTAAATAGTTAGTTTTGTTCCATTGGTTCATCGGTAACTTCTGTGGCTTTGTCATCATTTTCCATGGATGATTCTGAAAGAATCTCTCCAGTTTTACTGGGATTGGATCCTACTAATTCTTCTGTTTCACAGCAGTCAGAAGAACCACTACTTTCAAGGCCTTCGTTTTCACTACCTTCCGAATGTAGTAAATCTTTCTCGGCTTGAGACACATCAGATTCCTCCATTTGATTATTTTCCTCAGAAGTCTCTTCGTTCACAGTTAAGGCATCATCAGATTCTTTTTCTTGATTTTTTTCTTTCTGGGATCATTTCTCTTGATGACGTAAAAGACTCTTCTTCCTCTTCATCCTCTTCTTCATCCTCTTCTGTACAGTGCTGCTGGGTACAAGGGCTTTCTTTGTCTTTATCCTGAGATGATGATGCTTCTGTTTCTTCTACCATAACTGAAGAAATTTCGCTGGAAGTTGTTTGACTGACTGTTTCTCCGACTTCACCTTCTTTGTCAAACTTGAGTCTTTTTACTTCATGCCCCTCAGCTTCCACAGCATATTCATCTGGATGTTTATTTTTCAAAGGGCTCACTGAGGAAACTTCTGATTCAGATGTCAAAGAGTCACTGTGATTTTTCTCCTCATTTTGCTGCAAATTTGCCTCTTTGCTGTCTGTGCTCTCAGGCAAGCCATTTCTTGTCACGGGGGCTGACAAAGAAATCTTTGATCGATTAAGTGGCCTGGGTGTCCCAGGCCCATTTATATTAGACCTCTCAGTATAGCTTGGTGAATTTCCAGGAAAGGTAAGACCATTCATTCGATTTAAAGTATTGGAATTGTTTTTCTCTGAAGAAGGATAAACACAGCTAATAACCATCACATTCTTTTCTACTCCTCTAAGAAATTTGTCTGTTCCTGTATAGTTTCTCCTTGGATCTGTTAACAATTCATATAGTCGCCGAACAGTAAAAGGGATACCATTAAATCCAGCGACAACTTTCAGTATTCTTTCCTTCATTTTGTCAAAGGCAATATATTGGACATTAGGGTTGGGAGGACCTCTTGGCTCAGGAGCTGAAGTTCTGAAATCATCCATCACTTTCTTCAGTTTGAAAATAAAATAGCCTTTATTTAAATAGCCCAATTTAAATAGCCTTTAAATTGGGACCCCTAAATCATTGAGCTCGCGGAGCGAGCACCTCCCCAAGCTGCTACCACCAGCCCTCCCTTTTATTTTTTAATGTTATGAGTTATTTCAAACTTACAGAGAATTAAAGAGAACAATGTAATAAACACCAGTGTGTCTGCCACCGAAATTTAATAGATGAGGTCAGTTTGATAACTTATGGAAACTTTAAAAATATACACAAAAGTAGAGAGAATGGGATAGTAAATTCCCACTTATCCCACTTATACTTATTAGTGAATTACCCACTTTCAATAATCATTGATATTTTGCCAATAAGTGGTATCACTTATTGGCAAATTTTAACCCTTTCTCCCTATTTCTATCTAGTCAATCACAGCACCATTTCTAAATATCTCTCAGATGTGCTCAATTCTTTTCATCCCCACTGCTACCACTCAGGGCCCGGCCACCATCATACTCACAGGATTACTGCAGAACCTCCCTACTGATTTCCTCCTCTTTAATTGGTTCTCCACCCTGGGTTAATAATGTGCCTCCACCCCTTAAAAAATTAGAATACGGTAAAATTAACTTTTTTTGATGTACAGTTCTATGAGTTTTAACACTTTTTTCTTTTTCTTTTCTTTTTTTTTTTTTTTTTTTTTTTTGAGACAGAGTCTCACTCTGTCACCCAGGATGGAGTGCAGTGGCACGATCTCGGCTCACTGCAACCTCCACCTCCCAGGATCAAGTGATTCTCCTGCCTCAGCCTCCTGGGTAGCTGAGACTACAGGCGCGCGCCACCATGCTTGGCTAATTTTCGTATTTTCAGTAGAGATGGTGTTTCACCATGTTGATCAGGCTGATCTCCAACTCCTGACCTTGTGAGAGGTCCGCCTGCCTCCGCCTACCAAAGTGCTGAGATTACAGGCCTGAGCCGCGGCACCTGGACCTAACACATTTTTTTAGAGCTGTTAAGTCTTGCGATGTTGTCAGGATACGGAACAGTTCTATAACCATAAATAACTTATTTGTGCTACTCCTTTGTAATCGTATCCTTCCCTTTCTCATAACCCTTGGCAACCACAGGTCTGTTTTTCGTCCATCACATGTTTTTTTTAAAAACTTCTGTGTGTTCATGCCACTCCCATCCTTAAAACTCTTCTTTGGTTTTCCACTCTTGTAAGCAGTGGCCCTTTTCTAATTCTCTAGCCTCCTCTTTCACCATCTGTCACGTCACCACCCGCCACCTATTGCTTTTTTTTTTTTCTTGAGACAAGGTCTCACTCTGTCACCCAGTCTGGAGTGCGGTGGCACAGTCTCAGCTTACTGCAACCTCTACCTCTCGGGTTCAAGCGATTCTCCTGCCCCAGCCTCCCGAGTAGCTGGGATTACAGAAGCCCACTACCACACCTGGCTAATTTTTTATATTTTTAGTAGAGACAGGGTTTTGCCATATTGGCCAGGCTGGTCTCTAACTCCTGACCTCAGGTGATCTGCCTGCCTCAGCCTCCCAAAGTGCTGGGATTACAGATGTGAGCCACCACGCCTGGCCCCCCATCACTCTTAAGTTCTGGCCGGACTGAGCATTTCCCTCCCTCCCTCCCTCCCTTCTCTCTCTCTCTCCTTTCCTTTTCTTTCTTTCTTTTTCTCCTTCCTTCCTTCCTTCCTTCCTTCCTTCCTTCCTTCCTTCCTTCCTTCCTTCCTTCCTTCCTTCCTTTCTTTCTTTCTTTCTTTCTTTCTTTCTTTCTTTCTTTCTTTCTTTCTTTCTTTCTTTCTTTCTTTCTTTCTTTCTTTCTTTCTTTCTTTCTTTCTTTCTTTCGTCTTTCCTTCTGTCTTTCTGTCTTTCCTTCTTTCTTTCTCTTTCTTTCTTTCTCCCCTTCCTTCCTTCCTTCCTTCCTTCCTTCCTTCCTTCCTTCCTTCCTTATTCGCTTCGCTCAACAACAACAACAACAACAACAACAGCACTAACAACAACAACTTGTGGCGACCAACAACAACAACAACAACAACAACAACAACAAGTCTTTCCTTCTGTCTTTCTGTCTTTCCCTTCTTTTTCTTTCTCTTCTTTCTTTCTCCCCCTTCCTTCCTTCCTTCTTCTTCCTTCCTTCCTTCCTTCCTTCCTTCCTTCCTTCCTTCCTTCTTTCTCTTTCTTCCTTCCTTCCTTCCTTCCTTCCTTCCTTCCTTCCTTCCTTCCTTCCTTCCTTCTTTCTTTCCTCTTTCTTCTCTCTCTGTCTGTCTTTCTTTTCTGTTAAGAGGGGGTCTTTCTCTGTCACCTAGACTGGAATGCAGTGGTGCAATCACAGGCTCACGTGATCCTCCTGCCTCAGCCTCCTGAGTAGCTGGGACTACAGACGTGCACCACCACTCCTGACTAATTTTTTAATTTTTACTTTTTAGAGATGGAGTCTTATTATGTTGTCCAGGCTAGTCTCAAACTCCTTGGCTCAAGTGATCCTCCCACCTTGGCCTCCCAAAGTGCTAGGATTAAAGGTGAGAGCCATTGCACTGGCCTGAGTATTTCTTTATTGCTTTAATACACTATTTTCTTTGCTGATTTCAGGCCTTCTCACATACTATTCACTCTGATTTCATTGCTTTAATTCCTTCTCCTAATCACTGATTCCTTTACTGGGCTAATTTAGATCTTAGCTTAGATGCCTTTTACTCCTGGAAGGTGTCCGTATTCATATTAGGTTGATGGTTGCTATTAAGTGCTTCCCCTTTCAGAGTACTTATCGTGCATTACTACAGTTGTTTTATTCAACTGTATTTCCTTCCAGACTATAAACTCTGAGAGGTGGGGCGTATGTCCACCCTTGATTTGCTGCTGAATCTCCAGCCCCCAGCACTTAGCAGGAACTCAGTAAATATTTTTGCATAAATTAATAAATGCATTTTGTGTTTACCTACAGTCTACTTCTTCTTCTTCTTTTTTTTTTTTTTGAGAGAAAGTTTCTGTCTGTTGCCCAGGCTGGAGTGTACTGGCATGATGTTGGCTCACTGCAACCTCCACCTCCCAGGTTCAAGTGATTCTCCTGCCTCAGTCTCCCAAGTAGCTGGGATTACCGGCGCCCACCACCACGCCCAGCTAATTCACCACGCCTGGCTAATTTTTGTATTTTTAGTAGAGATGGGGTTTCACCCTGTTGGCCAGGCTGGTCTCGAACTCCTGACCTCAAGTGATCTGCCTGCCTTGGCCTCCCAAAGTGCTAGTATTACAGGTGTGAGCCACTGTGCCCAGCCAAAATCTACCAGGTTGCAGTGCAGTGGCGTGATCTCAGCTCACTGTAATCTCCTCCTCCTGGGTTCAAGCAATTCTCCTCCTCAGCCTCCTGAGTAGCTGGGACCACAGGCACCCACCACCATGCCCAGCTAATTTTTGTATTTTTCTTGGAGACAGGGTTTTACCATGTTGGCCAGGCTGATCTTGAACTCCTGACCTGAAGCGATCTGCTTGCCTTGGCCTCACAAAGTGCTGGAATTATAGGTGTGAGCCACAACGCCTAGCTGAGATTCGTGTTTTAATCGTTTTATTTGCAGAATGAACATAAATCATCTTTGATGGTAGAATTATCTTACCCAGGCTTGTTATCCATGTAAGAGAAATGACTGTTGGAGAAGTAAATAGTAAAAAATTGCAGAAAACTCAGAAAGACCAAGAAGGGGTGTGAGTTATGTGGGCCGCATGTGGTTTATTAAACTCAGGGGGAGGAGTGATTCAGATGGCCAAGAAGGATGAGTGTCTCATGGAGATGGGACTGGATTTACTACAGTCTCTGAGAGAGCTTATTCATCTTCAGATTTGCAAGCTTTTGTCGAGTCCAAGCAACAAGGAAGGTCTTATAACATTTTTGTTAAATCTTGGAGTAGTGATCCTTTCCCGGAAGACAGTTCCTTCAAGCCCCACAGTTGCAGCCTGAGATCTTCACTATACTGTAGATCTGGGACTTCTGTGCTTTTCATGGATTCAAGAAAGGCGTTCTATTCCCTAAAAACCAAGAAAAGGAATGCAAAAATCTTGGGGAAAGAACCTTCTGCTATAGGTCTCAAGGTTATACATCAAGACCTCAATAACTTGGATCCTGCTGACTCAGTTTTCCAAAAAGACCATCTGGTATATGGTGAAATCTTGCCTTTTCCTGTATTTCAATTTGTAGAGTTTAAACAGTTTTCTGCCAAAACTGTCCAAGAACATGTAAAAAACATAATTCCAGAGTATGTGTCTGCATTTGCAAACACTGGGGGAGGCTATCTTTCTATTGGAGTGCAAGACAATTTGGCAATATCTATTGGAATTAAAAAAATACATTTACCCTTTAGGACTAACATATAATTTTATATAATACACACACACACACATACACACACACACGCACACACATATGCCTGCATACATACCAAATATACAAGGTTATTTATTTATTTATTAATTTATTATTATTAAACTTCAAGTGGTAGGGTACATGTGCACAACGTGCAGGTTTGCTACATATGTATACTTGTGCCATGTTGGTGTGCTGCACACATCAACTCGTCATTTACATCAGGTATAACTCCCAATGCAATCCCTCCCCCCTCCCCCCTCCCCATGATAGGCCCCGGTGTGTGATGTTCCCCTTCCCGAGTCCAAGTGATCTCATTGTTCAGTTCCCGCCTATGAGTGAGAACATGCGGTGTTTGGTTTTCTGTTCTTGTGATAGTTTGCTGAGAATGATGGTTTCCAGCTGCATCCATGTCCCTACAAAGGACACAAACTCATCCTTTTTTATGGCTGCATAGTATTCCATGGTGTATATGTGCCACATTTTCTTAATCCAATCTGTCACTGATGGACATTTGGGTTGATTCCAAGTCTTTGCTATTGTGAATAGTGCTGCAATAAACATACGTGTGCATGTGTCTTTATAGCAGCATAATTTATAATCCTTTGGGTATATACCCAGTAATGGGATGGCTGGGTCATATGGTACATCTAGTTCTAGATCCTTGA